TGCAATAATTTCATATATAGAAGTATGGATTGTGTGCCTCTTCCTTTCCAGAAACCGTACTGATTGGGGTTGAAGAGATCATTGTTTTCCATGTATACTTTTATTCTGTTGTTGATATTTTTTTCGAGGTATTTCTAGGAGTGATATTGGTCTGTAGTCCTTTCCTGCCTTTGGTATTAATACCATTATATCATTTTAAAATTTGGTTGGGAAATAGCCCATTGAAAGAGCCTAGTTCTTTAATTTTGTGATGGCAACATCCGGGAGATGCTGCATCAGTCTTTCGCACGTCGCTTTGGCCGGGGGCTTTGTCTTTAAAATTGTTTATTAAAGACTTGGTGTCTCCTATTCTTATAGATCTGGTGAGAGGGTTGTTATCGTCAACTCTATGCGCACGTGCTTCGCTGTATGGGGGAAGTCTGTCCCTGTTATCTGAGAGATAACTGTCGACCATGTTTTCATGCTGCCCATCAAAGTAATGGATCTCATCAGGGTTGATCTTGAGCATTTCTTCCCAGAACCTTCGAAAGGCCTCTTCTTCAGGCCCTCTAATTTTTTTTTCATTGCTGTAGTTTAGTATATACGGTGTTTCTTTATATATATATATATATGAATTTATTTGGATTGTACTCGATCTCAGTTTTCTGTATCAGTTTGTTTCAGTGGTTGGTGGATAATCTTTTGCTTTCTTCCTTCATACCCTCCTGTAGTTGCTTGTATTGGCTGCGAAGGAGTGGTGTCCTGTATGTTCTGTATAATGATATTTTATCTTCATTGTAGCAATTTAAGACGTTCGCTTGTTAAGGGGTGAGGTAATGTTGTGTATTTTTGTTAAGGATTGTTCTATTCATTGCATTTTCAATAGTTTCATACCAGTTATTAATTTTGGAGTCTATGTATCGTTTGCCAACTGTGTGTTCTCCTGTGGGCTCGTTCATCATTGCTCTATTTCCCCCTTGAACAAATCCCAGTCTGCTCTTTCATAATTAGAAATTTCTGTTTGCGGGATATGATCAGATGTAGTTAGAGGTCCTTATTGTATGTTCATATGTATATTATTATTACCTAGTATGATGTCTGGGCGGCCTTTCCCTCTTTCATTTACACGTTAAAATCTGAACCAATGTGAGTGATTACGTTCCGATGGATTAGGTTACCAGCTCACTGCCCATATGATTATTGCTACTATGGCCGAGCGAGCGATGTCGGGCATTCGGATCGGCGATTATGTAAGCTGGAGTATTTCTTCTTCATTATCTTCATTCGGATACAGGAACTGGGGTCGTCTCCGTGACATATAAGCCGTCCAAAGAACGAAACTTTCTCGGTTTGTTTGCAGTTCCACCACCAGAAAATCCTCATTAAAATCATCGAGAAGTCTGTGTTTAACATATATCTTAATGGCAATAACAACACCGGCGTCTCCTTCATTAAGTATGTTCCGTTGGTAGACATTATAACCGAACATTTTGATAATTTCCCCGTTTTCTAGACAATGAGAGTTAATTAGGGTCTTCTGTTAAATACATGTTCGAGAGTTCGTGCTTCCTTGTACGCCAGTTTAGAATATTATGTGGAAATATCTTATATTTGTTAATGCCCATGGTAGTCATATTATATATCAGTCTGTGGAGGATTTTCTGCTCTCGTTCCACTTACAATTCTGTCGAAGGCTTGATTACTGACGTACTGAATACTGAAGGCTGTGAGATCAGTGTTTCTGTTGTTCAGGTTGTCTTCAATTTATTTATCGTCGGTGATATCATTATGGACGTATGCCCCTATATTTGATGATGTTTGTCTGAATAAGTTTTACAATGTCAGTGTGCACTGGTCGTCTGGGGATATAGCCTATGCTGTCTTCTCTTGCTCTCAGTCTTATCTGTGGCAACCTTTGAAAAATTGCCGCATTCCCTCATGCAAAGACTGGTCTCTGTTGTAGTGGTTCTTGATTTTGTTTCTGTTGTTCATAGTGGTTAACTGGAGGCAGCAGGCAGTACTCACCGTCACTGTCGGTCTCACCTTGGTGTTTTTTTCTTGTGTCGTTGTAGTTTCTCTGTTTCTTTTGTTATTTCCTTCGTGATCCATTTCTTCCCTTTCGTCTTGTGTCGTCATTGTTTGTACATTATTTTCTTGCGTTTATTAGTACACCAAGTGTTTCTGTTGCACGTACTCGGTTGGGGAATCTAACCTTAGGTAGGTTGTTGAGATAGTACATCTCATCGATTGTTTTCTAGAAACTGCCTGGTTCCCTGGCTTCTTGTGTGTATGCGTACAATAAGGCACTCATTATGCAAACAGCTGCATTCGGTGGGAGAGTGCTGAAAATCGCTTCCTTGTTCAAGCTAGTTAGTCTTTCTCTGGTGCGATTGGTCGTTATCGCTGTTGCCCCAGCGTAGCTTATTTGGCGGGAGGCCTGACTTCTCTCTGCTTGCGACTGTTCTTTCGTTCTTTCTTTTATGATCTCTTTTCGTTTCGGGTATTTTGCGACCAAAGGTCG